CCAAAGATTGGCAGAAGAAGAAGCCGAGGTACAGCGACTTGCCCAGGAGGCTGCTGAGGTAGAGACTCGAAGATTGGCAGAAGAAGAAGCCAAGATACAGCGACTTGCCCAGGAGGCTGCTGAGGCAGAGCTCAAAGATTGGCAGAAGAAGAAGCCGAGTACAGCGACTTGCCCAGGAGGCTGCTGAGGCAGAGACTCAAAGATTGGCAGAAGAAGAAGCCGAGGTACAGCGACTTGCCCAGGGTTCTGCTGGAGCAGAGGCCCAAAGATTGGCAGAAGAAGAAGCCGAGGTACAGCGACTTGCCCAGGAGGCTGCTGAGGTAGAGACTCGAAGATTGGCAGAAGAAGAAGCCAAGATACAGCGACTTGCCCAGGAGGCTGCTGAGGCAGAGCTCAAAGATTGGCAGAAGAAGAAGCCGAGATATGGTGATTTGCCCAGGAGGAGGCTGCTGAGGCAGATGCCCAGGAGGCTGTTGAGGCAGATGCCCAGGAGGCTGCTGAGGCAGAGGCCCAAAGATTGGCAGAAGAAGCCGAGGTACAGCGACTTGCCCAGGAGGCTGCTGAATTAGAGAAAGCAGTGCAACTTGCAAAAGAGGCTGCTAATGTAGAGGCCGAAAGATTGGCAGAAGAAGTCGAGGTACAGCGACTTGCCCAGGAGGCTGCGGAGGTCGAGGCACAGAGACTTGCTACAGAACAACCTGCGAAACTTGTCGAGGCAGAGCAAATCGCCTCTGAGGAGTATGCTACCAGAGTTAAGGCGGAACGAATTGCGAAGGCAGTCGAGATGGAAGCCAAAAGACTGTACAAGAAAAAGCTCAGTAGCCAGGCTCATATGAACGGCTTGGCTTTCAAGCACGCCATTGTGTGTTCCATCGAGCTTGAAGCACGCCGAATCGCTGCGATTCAGGGAGAGAAGAAGGCGGCGGAAAAGCGTCTATCGCGGGAGGTTGAGCAGCAGAGCGACTGTATGCCTGAGAGATGGGCTGAAGGTGTGAGTGAGTGCGAGCCTCAGGAGAAGTATCCGTCTACTGATAAGGCAGCAACGGCGAGGGCGTCATCAAAGCTTAAACAAGCGCCAGTGGTGTACATCCGTATCATGGGCAAAGTTGGAACTGGCAGTCTCCTCTGCCGCCCTATGTGGGATTAAAAGCGACTCGGCAGGTCTGGAGTTGTCTGCGTCGCAGCTGGAAATAGATGCGTGCATTTGAGGAATTAGAGAACAGTTGCAGTGAAAGACTACATCGCAGTTAGAAAACGCGTACACAGAAATGTACACGAAAATGTAGTCAGTAGAAATCAAAATAAACAATTGAGCGGGCAAATGAGACTATTCAGCTAAATATACATAACCCACCACTGCCACAAATGGTGACAAACGCAGCTTTCATACAGGTAGTAGCATACGGCGGATAGTAATTTTTATGTTGAACGCTTTTCCCACCAATACAACATCTGATAAACATAAGCTTCAAACGGGGCTTTAATTTCTGTTGAACCTGTTTCAAAAGACGTCCTTTGCTGCCTGTTGTCATTCACCTGTTATTGTCCTCCGCAGCTAGTCTTCTCATAGCCTGATATCTCACAGCCCAAAGGAGCATGTTGTAGTCCTCGCGCCACACTAAGCAATGTATCCACACCAAATGAAGACAGTGCAGACCCACTTTGCTCCCTTTCTCCAGTAGGCCCAAAAGAAACTTCGCAGGTACTTGCGCACGCTGTTTTCTGAATGACCGACAGGGACTGCAGCGCTATGGCTTCGATGTTCTCGTCAACCACGGCGAGTGTGGAGCTAGGAGAATAGGAATGCGCACATGGAGTGATCGAGTTTTAGATTTTTAGATTCCGCACAATGTGCCGAAATCTCAAATGAATTTTAACAATCGCGGTAGTAGAATATCAAGCTCTTCATGACGATAAGCCATCAGACAGGTCATCGGATCAATATACAAGTGAAGACACGTTGAGCTATAGTGTGAACGTATTTGTGTGTAAGTCTTCACCACTACTGCCACAGAATATGATGCGACGCTGCGTGTCGCGCGAAATCTGCATGTGATTGAGCCAATGCATGGCACATACAGAGAGCTCGAGTCAAAACACAAACACACCTAGTATTAAACGGATGCCGAACCATCTCCGTGACAGCTGATAAGATATTCGCGCCGTCATCGGCATTTTCTGCCGCATACTTAGTCAATTTCCGCAGGGCACGAGATCGTAGCACTACCGACGGATTTACGGCTCGCATATGTTTTTGCCATCGGTGGGGCGTGAAGCTGTGTAGCAAGCGGTAATTCAGACAGGGAACTTGATGTGAACCAAAAAAACCACCACGAAACATGTGTGCTTAGCATACAAAGAGTACATAGCGTGAATCTGATTCATAATGTTCGGACATTGAATCTACAGATATTGATGGTCTATTCGCATACTCACGGTACACGTACTAAATTAAATCATTCACAGCAGTATAAAATATCAAATATGCTTATAACACGCCCTTGTCATCGACAGCTCGACAGCTCGATGATAAACGTATTGTCACAAATAGTCGCAACGTTGTGTCAAACAATGCATACTTACGTTACAATGGTTGCGGCGGTAGGATATAATAGGAACGAACCTACCTGTGAGTCGACTCAGAGGCATGCAACGTATTTATGTACTGTCTGAGCCAAGACTCTAGTGTGTTGACCACCAATTCGTACTGTGCGCTGCCCATAGTTTCTTTGGACACTCCCGCACTCGTAACTAGCATAAGTGCATTCTGTCGCACCAGTGCAATTTCCTGCGCTTTACGCACATCCCTACTCGCCTCCGTTTCATCCCCTCGATTATTAGCAGTAGTGAACATTTCCTCGTCAGCGAGACTCCGATTACACAGCTGTATTAATTCAGCGAAATCTATATCGGCGAGCGCCCGATGCACTCTATTGAGATCAGCTCGAGACAACCTAAGCCATTTAAACCACTGAAACAAAATCGGATCCAATTTCTTAGTTTCATCAGATAGACTTTCGACCCTGCCCATTGGATTGTCTTCGCGGATTTGGCAGCTTTCCTGACCGCTTTCCTGATCATCAGCTCCGATTTCACATTCAATAATGTCATCTCCTTGAGTCTTTTGCGTCAGAGGTAGCCCTAGTCGTATACGCTGTCTTGCATCCCAGCACAGTTTGTAGGTACTAGTTATATAGAACCAATAAATCGGCCGTGAGAGGACAAACCTATATAGCAGTTGAATAAAAATGTACAGAACAGAATGTTCTACCACCAAATTAAAGATCTGATGGTCACTTTGTTCAAGAATTTGCAAGCGTCACAACAAACGGATAAGCAACCCAAAATCTAAGCAATTTCTAAAAGATTCTACCTGTGAAATCGACCCAGTTCGGTTGTCCTCGCACGATCAGACAACCAAGAATCTGTCAAATCGTTCATGTTGTTTTGCTCGCCTTTACTTCTCGCTGATTCCCGCTCTTGCCCCTGAGAGCCGCCACTAAGTGCGTCTGCCAATCGTTCCAGATTCCAGAGCATAACATGTGCCTACAATAGTAAAATTGTGCAATGTTTAACTTTCTTGTGTCATGGCGATCAAGTATATACTATTATGTGGGTGATATCATATGTGGGTAATACTGTGTCGGATAATAGAGTGTCGGATACATAGTCTTCCAGTAGTTGTTTTAGGTAAAACCCTAACGGCAAGTCGCCGACTATACATTCTTCACGAGTAAGAAATGTATCAATGCAAGATCACATTTTTTCCGTGTGCGGCATGGCATACCTGATTGCCAAATGCATAGCGGGCTTCATCGTCGATAAAGTTCGGTACATACGCTTCATCGTACGCTTCTTGAAAACCAAACACATTAAGGTCCAGGGTTATGCCCAGGATGGACATGTTATCTGTGTTCATCACCCCGTGCGTAAATCCTGTCGCAGTCCATGCAGCGACTAACGATGCACTTCGTGCAACGACTCTCTCAAGAAGGCAACGTAGAACTCCTTCATTACTGGCGGTGCTTTCTCCAGCTATGAAGGGGAGTTGTTTGAGAGGTGTTAATCACTCCTTTACCACAGTGTGGCAATGAGATCGCGCAAAAGTATGCACAGACTTCGGGAAACGCACAGTGCTGGGAACTTATTGGGCACGCACACACAAAAGCCAATATCATTTGATCCACTCTCCCACAGCGTCTCACCCTTCAGACTAAATTTGCGCATCCGAATAAATTTGCTCAAAATACTAAGCATGTCAGCTTACCCAAAAGGCTGTTACATATTCAGAATGGCCATTCATTGATATACCTTTTCCGGTACAGCTGGGCCTTTTTCTGGCGCGAAAGAAACAAGTTTCTTGGGTTTCAGCATCCATACCTCGAGGAAACGCGTCAGAATCGTAGTACGCAAGGGCTTTGTCTAGGTAGACAATGCTGGACCATACGACAGAAGCAGATGGCGTGGTAACATAGTCAGTATAATAGATAGGCTAAGGACATTCGAAAGAGCGTGTTAAGCTACTGGTACCTACAATTCGTACGCAGGCAGTGCTGATTTGAGATTAAAATGGATGATTGGACTCAATAGCAAACTATATAATATCACACCTACTATCATTAAAGTGCGCTCACTTCAAATGTACACGCTAGCGTATGAGCGAGAACACTGAGAACGCCGACCATTGAATTGCACCCGCAAATATATATAACCATGTACATACAAGATACAAAAGCACTACAAATACTCGATGGCCCTTCGATGCATTCTAAACCATCGTTCATCCACACAGGACAAACCAACTCACATGCTGAGCCGAATGATGATGCATATCGCGTATATAGATCAACTACTGATTTGACCATGGTACCTGCGGTCATCTGTAGCTTCTACATCAGCTATAATACTGAGAGCAAACTTTGCTAACTTCACGAGGCTTTCTGCGCCTTGCCGTCTGGCTGCCAGCTGAAAAGTACCGAAGCGAAGGAACGTCGGTGCAACGCGCACCAGAATCCCGGCCGAGTTGGATAGTAACTCCCCAGTGTACCTAGAATAGTGAAGTGCATAGAGTCCTATATATGAGTAATAAAAGTTTGGTCGAGCAAATAGGAGACTGACAAATACTACGCACATTCCTGTCAAATAACTATCTTCTGAATTTTGCAACTTGCCGTAGATCTGGACAATAACTTCACATGTGCGGGTATTATCAATGGGATAGATCCCTAAACACAAATATTAAACAAAAATCGTGTCTGCGAAAGTATACTTGCGCTATATTTTCGTATCATTCAACACGACCGAATTAACAGGGAACTTTGTTCATATACACTTTAAAAATACCAATAGCGTGCCACGCACCATTCGTCCCTGAGTAAAGCATCGGCCATGTCGTCTGATCCAAGGACAGCCAGTGAGTGCGTTGTGGGGACGCCAAGGGCAGTCAGCGCCACACTTGCCAAAAATTCGCGACACACACTCTGCAACACAGCTCTGCCGTCACCAGCTCTGGACAGTGGTGTTCTGCCCGCGCCTTTGAGACTAACTTCCCAATTGTTAAGCTGAGAGTAGATATTAGAGGCACTGAGAACACTGGAAGGTAGGAACTATGTGCAAGTCATTTGCTGTGTTCGTGCAGCTACGCCAGGCAAGACGGGTATGACAAACGAAGAGGAATACGAACAATGGGTGTAGAATACTGAGAACAAACGCGCGAACTACCACAGCGTAGCTCTCAGCCAAATATGAATACGGTTTTGGACTCATATATAACTGACACGATAGTTGTAGAACACACACTCATGCACAATATTCGAAATGCGTTATGCACACGATAACGGTCAGTGATACACACAACCGTCACAGACCTCCCCGATACTGATTACCCGCCCATCACCGAGCTGTCCCGAGAATGTACCGAACTGATGTCCGCCGTATACATGCGCAAAAGGAAGTGAGCCGGGGAACAGCGCACGCCCACTGAACAACTCAGTGAACCTCGTTGACGTGCTCTCTGACGGAGATAAGTTCAGCAGCAACGATGTTGCATTGTCAAAGGCCACCAGTCGCAAACTGGTGAGTAGATGAAATTTTGAGTTTATTGTTATAATGAAGCATGGAAATACATTTTTTCAGGCGAATAGTTGGAGGGCTAAGCACGACGAACTGTGATATAGCATTCTACCTCAGACCTGCTTGTATGTACTAAGAACACGAATACGGCTCATGGAACTATGCGCATAGAACATGGACATACTCTTGATTATATTCTCCGAGGACGGAATTAGATACTAAAGACCGTTCAAAACAACAGAATCTTAATAACCCCCTTTGTGGCAAACTACTGAAAAGAATGGTTTATCGCAACTGTCTATTGTTTAGAAAGCTTTATGGATTGAGCTTGCAGAACTGATGAGGGTCAAGTAAATTTTCATGCAACCATGTCAAGTGACTGCTACATATAAATGAACCTCAAACTAGATGAGGTCAAGGCATAGTAATGATACATCTGTATTTAGCAGAAAAACACGACCTACCAAGCTGCTCGCATAGGCATAGGTAGCACACGCACAGCCGTCGCATTGGGAATGCTGCGGGGTGCGCGATGAAAGCCGCTATCAATGGACACGTGTCGCAGAGTCCAATTGTGGAATCTCAGCTCATCGAGAGTGCACAAGCATCCTAATTCCGGCTCGCTAAGAGAGTCGCATGGGAGGTGCTTGTCGATGTCACACAACGCTGATGTGGAGGAAAAAAGAATTTTTATTGAAACTGGTAAGGAGTCTTTGCAATGATCTGTCGTGATTCCTATAGAAAGCGAAAGACCGCTGTGAGCTAAACCGTTGATTCCGCACTTTAAAAGTACACAAGACCTTTCCAAATTATACTAATGAAGACACAAAGTAGTCGGAATACGTGCATGCTCATCCTCTTTTGAATACACAGCTAGGAACATTAGGTGCACATGTATCGGCTACCTGGTGTTTCCGGTGTAGGTATCAGCCTGTGTGGGATACCACACAGAGTTTCTTGGCCGAAAGCGCACGAACAAGTACCATCACCTGCCAATCCATCATCGCAATCTTCATATTCGGCACAATCACACACACCGGAACAATCCAAGCCATAGTGATCTGGTAGGCACGACGTGTACCTGCTACTGATAGCAACAGCTGGTATAGCAGGAGTTGAAATGCAGACATGTCTGTAGCTTTGTTGTACGTGCGTATAAAGATACGTGTGCACATGGGGTGTGCGTGGGTTTACCAACGCTGTTTCCTGATAAAAGACCTGGCGAACTCGACTTGTATTGAATAAACACATAAGTCAATGTCTGACCACACACAATCCATACTTATGTATATACACGCTAGCAGAATCCATACTAAAGTTATCTGGGAGGCATGATACAAAACACGCAGCGGCTATTGAGGCTACAAATATATTCGCGCTTAGAGCTGAACTATCCAAAGAGACATCATGGAGTATAGCCTATCAGTATATATACCACATGTGCTTCAGCAGTCACTATTCACATATATTGACATGTGAAATAGAAACAAAATGAGCAACCTAAGATGGAGCCCGGTTGGCTCATACATATACGTGTCACTATATTGTTGCCAACTATGTGACTATAAGTAGCGGTGAGGTGACTCGACCAATCGGATTTATTTTTGACATTCAACCGTTTCTTAAGTGTACACGCGTATCTAAGAAAACAACTGAGACATACGATGCCAGATGAATCTGAAGTAAATAACACATATCTACCATCAGCGAAAACCTCCCAAGTTTGCGACTAGCTATAGATATTTATTGTATCGAAAGAGATCCTCGGCGCAGAAGACATACGAAGTAATGAGACCACGGCTCACCGTCACATGCTGGATTATTGACAGTGATCTAAGCTATACACTTATATACTTACGTGTTCCAGTTGTATGCACGGACTTGCTTCCGTTCACCAGGATGCAGAGTGAAAGTGCTAGTGGCCACACCCGACTGGACATCCTCGTGAATTAGTGATGAGTCGAGAGGATATGCGGTGCTATTCAAGACGCAGCCACCACTCAGTTTACGCATATCACTACTTGTTATTATGTAGATTGGACGTGAGAGCGAGTTATGAATATCATCCATGCATCTATAGACCACGGCACAGGTCGCATTATTGATATGGCGTGGACGACACTATATTATTCATTTACTATTTAAATGTGGATACTGGAGAAGCAGAGGAACTACTAAATTGTTGGGTTTTCAACCTTGGAAAAGAGACAAATTAGGCAAATCAAAGATTTGGCGGCACACTCAGCTGCGCAAATTCCGGCTAAAACTGACACTTTATTCAAAAAATATAATATGAAGGTAAATAAATACAAAATGTCTGGTTGATACTATTACACACAGTGTCTTGAGTGTCGTGTGTGTAGTGGACTTTGCATAGTACCCCGTCTCATAAGCAAGCGCTTTAACAGTACGTAAACTTTTATAATTAACAATAATATCGCCTGTTTCGTGCATATAGAATGATCGTCAGGTTGTGCAAAGTCAGTTAATTCCCTCTTGAGGAACTCTTTGTAACTTTCGTGTAGTACTGAAGATCACACAGTAATGAATATGGCATGTGCCGATGTGCTTGTCGATCTGGGCGTATACACACCGTTTGGACGGCAGTACATAAAATGGCATCCTAGCTGCGGTGATGTGGAACGGAAAGAGGTATGCTTAGCTCGCACGTATTCGTGAATGCAATCGTTCATTTGTTCGTGCACGCTGGCTTGGAATGAAAGTGATTATTCTAAGCTTTAATTTGCGAACTAATGTTAATTTCTAATATGCCAAAGTATGACTGTGTGTGCCAACCAATTTGTTTCTCTCGATTTCTCGATCGTTGGGATCTTGAACCCCGAGTATTGCATCGATACCCACACTTGGCGAGTCTGCGCACCATCGGCCCAAACGTTTCTGCCTAATTTCTCCGTTTGAACAAACGATGGGCCTGGTTTCTTCTGGTCGAACAAATTTTACACGGTTATGCATAGTGAGTACCCACCCCATGCAAGATGACATCATACGTGGTGGTTGTGGACTTCAAGCTAGTATGCTTATTATTCGACATTAGGCGAACGGGAAGTTGCCGATGGTGTGGTCAATATATCACCTAAAGTGCTTGCGCTGCTTATGTACAGCAAAGATCTATTTTCAGCTTATGAAAATGTAAGTTGTACAATTCTACGTTAACTGTATATACAGGAGTTGCGAAACTACAAGTGCTGGTCGCGTGTCGTGTATCACGCACAACCGCACAAAAGATGCACGCCTCTATGCTCATATGGGTGTAAATTCGATAATTATGAATCAAAGCCTTATACAGATAGATACAATAAACAGGGCATGTCGCGTTGGCTGCCGACTGCCGCTATACCAGGATCATATACACCAAACCCCCACGACCATATTGCAACTATGGGCATATCGAATATCAACTCTCAATATGTGTACACAATCGACCCTGCCGATCATCACACAAGGGTAAAATAAAAGACTGCACCGTCTCATTCTGCGCCCGCCTCTTCATTATATACTTATCACCTTACCACAGCGGTACCAACTAACACACATGCCAGCAAGTGGCAGAGACGATGAGTGTAGTGATCAGGAACTGTACGTCAATGACTGCACAGTCATATGGAGCGCTGGCGGCTCTGTGAAGCAGTGTTACACAGGCGAATGTCGCGTACGAGAGGTGTGTTGTGTGTGATGGAGGTGTTTTTCGCGTATAAAATGCTTGTTTGGGTTGAGCTGCTCATCATACCGCCTATTGATATTGGGTGCAGACTCATCGCTCCACAGCACAGTATGGATCAACTGAAACCGACTAGTACATAAGCCTTTTACTTTCGTGCAGTTCGGTGTGGGTTGGTATGTGCTGCACTGGTTCGATTCTATGCGCAGCTCATTTATTTCTCCATCTTTGTATCATTCGTGGCCTTGTATAACCATACGAAGTTTTGCATGAAGTTGTATGCCATGCGGGTTGGAGTGCTATAAGCAGTATCCCGTATAGAAAACTGAAAGCAGGCGCCCAGATATTTGATGCTATATATTCAGTTGCAGTGTGCTCATTTTATCTGTCACATTCTCATTGCTCAGGCGGTGTGGACGTTGATGAAGTACGAGACCGCGCAAATACCAGAGACCACGTTGGCAGTTCTGCGGACGGTAAGTAGCAAACGAAATGAAATTTAGGCTGCACCATCTGAGAATAGTTCAAATGGCGAAGTCTACTGGTTAACACCTGTTAGCATATATTATAACAATGAGATAGACATACAATGTATTTTACGTGCCCTCTTTTAATTGATATTCTAAAGTTTCGAATAGTCAATGGGTTTATGATATTCGGCGATCAAAATTTCACATCTACACCACACAAATTTAATTTAGCTGAAACTACGAACAAACTGACACATGCGCACACCGTACAGGAGTCAGTAGACTTCACAGCACTCTCCGGTAGGACATACACAATGCCCCTGACTCGTTCGGTTGCCCATCTACATCCCACACACCCGGATGGCTTTCTGCTCGAGTTGGATGCGAGGGAGCGTCTAGACACACTGAACGATTGTGGCTTGAGATATGGGACTCACCCCTGGGCACCGGCGCAACCGGTAGTCCTGCGCACTCCCAAAGGTGGGTATCTCAAGCGTGCTGCGTGCACAAACAGGGTCGAGTACATCCATACCTCATGCGTATCTGATGACTGCGACATGGCAATAAATGCGTTAACTTATGGTTATACCTTGCCTTGTGTGCATCACTGTGATAAATCGACTCAATACCGTGGTTTGTGCTTTGCTACAGGCACACCGTACCAGGTATCGCGGCTGTCGTGTCTATATTCCGAGGTTTCCAACGATTTAGTCGTGTGCTACGAGACCTCGAAGTGCACTCTGACACTCTGGAAAGCTCAAGTGAGTGGCGACCCGATTCCGAAGAAGGTACAGCGGTGGAGTAATTGTGCAATATCATTTGAATAGTTATAATCACGCAGTTGCTTACCTCATGTGGTTATCTGTGTTGACATCTTTTATTCACTGAAATTTGATGCAAGGCTAATTTTCTGCCTTGGTGTGGCCGGCACCCATATCTCATCTTCACTATTGCGATATTCTGTGTTTCATTTTCTGTAATTCTATGGGAAAACTTTATTGAGTTTCTGTGCGCAGTGTTAAAGCCACGAGAATTGCGCGTCACACGTTGCAGCAAGTTTGTGCATGCAAACGACATGTGTGAACTTTATTGTAGGCTTATTGACAATTTGTGGTTTCGTATCGAATACACAGACAGAGGAGGCGACTGATTTCTCCAAGGCCAGCAGCAGAGAATTGGATAGTTCCCGGTCATATACGGGAGCCTTTGCGGATGATGTCATGAATATGGTAAGTACTTGTAAGACCATGCGCGTATTCCATTGCATATTCATAATTGTGAAGCACTGCAATTTGTATTGAAATTGTCATGCTGCGTATGATACATAAATAACGCTAGCAGTCTCGCTCGAAGCGCGATATCGAGAGGAAACTCAAACTTTGATATTTCTCACTTGTGGCTGAGTGCATCAAATTTACGCATGGCTTCAAGACCGTCCGCATGACGGACTCTGCATGCACCCATAAATCTTAATGTAGATCTGATTTCGCATCCAGCCCTGTTCGAGTGGCTGTCCTGATAATTAGTTTGCCTGTGCTCGTATTCCTGTCATATCTCTAGTCGGTGGCGTTTAGAAGTGCATACTTTGCCATGTATGTCACTAAAAAGATCATGGAGACTTAAGAATCGTCGAAAGTAAATAAAACGTTAGGGCCTGATCCGCGATTGTGTTTATTTGCCTTCAACTATACAGGCCAGAGTAGAGCAAGCGGATACGCTAGTGAATGATCGTGGTGGTTTGCTAGTCATGACCCTACAGCATAGTATCAGCATGGGAACTGCGAGCAGTGCAGCCTATGCCAACATGAAGAACTGGACTATATTCGCATGCCACGACTGGTAGGTATACCCGACTTTTAGTGATTTAGCCTTTGACTACCGTCATGCTCCTTAGCCACCAACCTGTAGAGTAACCAGACCAAAAAGACATCGGGCGCACTTGCTATTTTGTTCCAACCACACACTTTGATCAATATGCTCTAGTCGTTCAGTGGAACAGCTGTGTACACCCTATTTGATTCAAGCGCCAAGTTGTACATGCTTCCCCAACATGACCATCCGTACACTCGCAATGTACCGACTTGGCATTCACTACAATATACATACCTATGTGGGTGAATTGCAGTGTAGGGCAGCCCGTGAGTCTATGGATGATTCATCGGCCTTCGTCCAGCGGCTGTGTTCTTGATCTCAAGGGGGGGTCGACGCCTGCGCGAACGATTGTCGCCATCGACGATGCAACAAGAATAAGGTGACTAGCCTGCGTGTATTTTGAGGAAAAAAAGTCAATGCTTGACTTGTTATACGTCATGTTGTTGTCCTCGCATATATTCAGATTTGCACCTGTTTGAGTGTATTGTTGGTCGTTGATTTCATCTACTCACGTTGCGTTCGGTTTAATGCAGCGCTTTCTGCTCCTATGTCTGCAACTTTGCTTACTACCAACCCAACTATATCTCGAATTGTATTTAGTAGTTGATAGATGTTCATACTGGCTTATATGTAGAACGAGAAATATGTGTTTTTCTTGCGTTAAAGATATGTTACATATTTATATACATAAATTAACTTTGCGCCAACAATCCTGTGTATCACCACGTGTTTTGGCCGTCCCGGATTCAGTTTCAAAAGTACAGAGAATTGCTTAGATGACGAAGTTCTCGGCCTACAAGATGGCAAATTGCAACTTCACGCATCGAATGGAGAAAGGATCCTACAATGTCGGACAGAACATATCCTACCAACCAGGTAGGTGTGCATACCATGCTCTTTTACTAAAACCATATCGAATTGACTACCATGCCACAGTGCGGGCCTAAACAGATATCCATGTCAGAAACACTACGTGTTCAATTCATCGCTGCCGTTTGCATACTTGATCAATATTACTTTACTACACTGCATAAGTGTGTACGCTCGGATTAACACTATGCATTAATGTCTTATATGTATCTACAGATCGATGGAAGCACCCATGCAAATAAAATTGATTAACATTT